AGTTAGTTACACGAATTCAGATGTGGGATGAAATCGGATAGGGATGAAATTGTTTAGGGATGAACGGGTTTAAGAGTTTTAACAAAATGTTTTATAATATAGTACAGATTAATTTAAGTTTAATAATGCAATAATTTATTTTTGGTTCAATAATATAACATTTTATAAAGATAATAATTATGTATTTTGTTAGAACTCAATGATTATCCTAATTATATTTTAGATTTTTTATATTTAAATTGAGATGTTATCCTGTATTTGATTGTGTTTATCTGCAGTTAGTTACACGAGTTCAGATATGGGACGAAATCGGATAAAGATGAACGAGTTTAAGAGTTTTTAAGAGTTTAAGAGTTTTAAGAGTTTTTAAGAGTTTTAGTCAAATGCTTTATAATATAGTATAGATATATATATATATATATATATATATAAAGATATAATAGTATAATAAATTTTGCACTATGATTTCTACCATTTGGTTTGATTGGTTTACAACCATGGTTATAAATTTCAAATAAGGTCATCCAAATAAAGATAACCCTATGAGCCAAACCATATATTTGACACAAAGGCATCCAATCCACCTTTCTTATACACTTCATATTGTTTAAAATTTTCAATTCTTTTCCAATGTGGGATATCTCAAACTCAACCACAATCCACCAACACCTCAATACTCAATTCTCATGATGTCACCTCAATACTCTTAGTTCTTCCTTTAATATATATATAAATTATTCAATCATAAAATCCTAATTAATTAATTTCATTCATAAATCCAGTTTTCACAGTTAATTTATAATTTCCAGTCTAGTACGGTAGTGCCCTTGCTTGGCAGCCTATTCAAGACAATTTATAATCACTAAACATTGTTTAGCTATCAAATTTATTCCACTTGGCCCATTTTATATGTATTGTCTTTCCACTGTTTTTTTTTTTTTTACTTTAATCAAGGTTAAAGGTTTATTTATTCGAACTTGGGATCATGTCAGATCCTTAAAACGACGTAAACAATATTGGATTTTTATATTGAAACACTATGAAGATACATTTTTAGATTGTTTTTGTTATTAAGGTTCAGTGTTTTTTGTACATTCTCAATGTTTTCTTGTGAAGTTTCAATGTTATTTGTGCTCTTACGAGAACGAATTGGTATCCAACCCTATGTAGGCTATATTTGGCAAACTAGTTGATAACTGATAAACTAACTGTTAGTTTATAAACTAGTTGATAGCTGATAAGAACGTAAAATGATCAAAACGGACATTGAAAAATTAATCAAGTATAATATTTTAGGATATAATTTGTATAAATCTCTAATAATATAATATGTTAATTAATACAAATAAGATGATAAAAAAATTAAAAAACACAATATATTGATCAAAGTAATTTCAAATTGATTATTATATATATTATAATATTTGAATATATTAAAAAATTAGAAAAAATATATTATTTGTGATTTCAAATAACTATTACATATAATATGAATAAAAATAAAAATAACCTACCTCACATATCCTAGTTAATTAATTATTCTTCGAAAAATATATCTGTGGAATAAAATAAGTATAATTTAAATTTTTATGTTAGATAAACATTATTAAAATTGTTATATATTTTCTTTGATAACTAAATATATTTGATAAAAAATAAAAAATAATAATATAAAAATAATTGATATGATTGATGATTAATATTAATGTAAAATTTTAATTTATATTAATTAATAGTTAATATTTATTAATATTAGTAGTATTTAAATTTTATTAATATTATTTATAATTGATGGGAAATAATTAATATTAATGAGAGTTATAATTGGAAAAAAAAAATCACAATAAACTACCAAAAGACTACCCCAAATAACGTTTAAATAAACTAGTTTATATGCATCCAAACATATACCCAAAAAATAAGCTAACTTATTTTTACGAAACAAGGCATTAATCACTAAACAACGCATATTATTAACATTATTTTTGACGAGACCAAACCCACAGGAAAATATATCCTACAATGACCAAAATCGCAATTAATGCATTTTAAAGACTAAAACTGTGATTTTTATATCCTACAGGACCAAACTGTAAATTACTCTATGTAATATCTTATGATTAAACTACAACTTTGGTCCCTCTGGTTTGTCAAAATTTACTTTTTTCGTCCCTGTAGTTTTAAAATTAGAAAAATGACAATCATAGTTTATAAAAACATCAGATCTGGTCCCTATCTAACTACCAATAAAAATTCAGTCAAATGAGATTCATTTTTGTCATTTTATCAAATTTTTTTACTTTACCTAATCAAAAACCACATTAACCAAAATCACAAAATCGATTTTAATTGAGTAATTTACAAAGAAATCAATAAAACTATAAAAAACAAAATTGTACTTGATTTAACAGAACTTTCTAACTATTGTTAGAGGAAGAGACCAAATCCAAACGTTTTTACAGACAGTGGCGGATGCATAGCAAGCCCATAGGGGTCACATGCCCCCAACAAACCACCCAGGAACTCACAAGAAGAGCATCACTTGTAACTTTAAATATATATATTTTAATCTAAAATTATAAATAGGCCCCCAACAATTAAAAGGCAAATCCCCAAATTTAATCCCTACCATTTTATTTACATCTTCCATTTTATTTCAATTGAGAGAGTTACCAATTTAAGAATCAATTAAACTCTAATGTCCCTAATTTCTAAGTCTTAAATCATTGAAAGTCATTTTATTGTTCTTGTTTTATTTACTATAATTCTAATAATTTGATCTATCACTATTTTTTTTTCAACTATTGTTTTTGCATTTTATTTTTTATAGATTTATAATTATTGTTATTTGTTGATTATTAATTTTCTATTTCTTGATATTTGAGTTTGTTATTTTGATATAGAATTTACTACTAGTTTATATTTTATTTATAGCATATTGATATTTTGCTCTCTAATTTCTTTTAATTGAATCTAATTTCTTGCCCTCTGATTTCTTGTTATTGACTATTAATGTGTATTGTGTTCATTTGTTTTAAGTTGAACCAAAATAAAAATATATGTACAATGTCTCTGTTTATCCGAAATAGTAAAAATTAATCAAAAAAGAGAAAAAGTTATATTTATTTGATTAAACTGAACAGTTTAAACCGAATAACCCAAAATCGTCTTGGTCTGGATGAGTTATTCGGTTTTAAAAAAAATTGACACCCCAACTCCCTAAGTTTGCCCCCAATAATAAAATTTTCTGGATCCGCCACTGTTTACAGACCTTGATGACCATCTTGTAATTTCGAAACTACAAGAGTTCGTTGGACCCCTTTGGAACATGCCTTTCATTTTATAATTTTGATTTATGAGGGACAAACTTGTAATTTACTCTCTCTTATATGTAAGTGTATGCATTATGTTATTGACTTACCGTGTCCAATAATACAGATAAAAATCACTTGTCTCAAAATTTATCGCGTGAAATTTTCGGATAGGAGACTTTTTAACCATAACTAATAGATGGTGAAAAATGTAAATGAATTCATATCATCAATGACGCTACAAAATTAGGTTCAATTCGACGGATATCGAATCTTGTAATACATGAATAATGGAAAAGAGTTAAACAATTAAAAGAGCTCACCAGATAACATTCGATACGGGGCCCTGAATTTGTAAAATCATATACCAACTCTCTTTCACAATCGTAACCTAGAAGAGAAAGAATCCGGCGAAAGCGGCAGCACCCGTGGCGGCAGAGATCTTGAACTTTGGGGTGGCACGATCTGATTCTTCAGACGCTGGTGCATCTGCATCTGCATCTGCATCTGACGGTGATGGTGCATCGGACGATTCTGGAGCTTCACCGGACTCCGGTGCAGGTGGGCTAGCGGCTGAGCCATCGGAAGACGGGCTAGGCGATGACCCGCTTGATGGGGAGGAGGCAGGACTGGACTTGGAAGAGGGGGATGGAGAAGAACCGTCAGATGCTTTTGGGGCACCGGCAGAACCACCACCCTTTGGTGGCGGCCCTGCTTTGGGGGCAGAAGCCGGGGATTTAGAAGGCGTGTTGGCAGCGGTAACAAGGCCGACAAGGGCCACGAAGATCAGGGCAAGAACGACCAATCGGTGTGCCATTATTTATTATTATTATTATTATTATTATTATTGGGATGGTTAGAAAATGGTTTTATTTTCTCTGAGTTGAAGTGCAGAGAACACTGATTATTGATAAGAATGTAATAAGACGTTTGTTTTATATAGTGAAGAATAAGAACGTAGAAGGTGGCAAATAAAGAGAAACGACACAAAAATCTGTGAGGTGTAGATATAAATAGGGAGAGAATTATGGGATCTGAGTTTACCCATTCAAACTACTATTGAGAATTGAAGGAAATTATGAAGAAAATAACACAACAATCTTTTTGATTTAATATGAAAGAGGTTAAAGAAAGGGGAAATTGTCCAAAATTGCCAATCTAGACGGGACAGGACTGGATGGGACATAACTCACTGTCCCATGTTTGGCGCAGCATGAGACAGAACAAGTACCTACTGTCCCACGTTTGGCGTGACATGGGACAAGAACTGGAACAACATGGGACAAAAGATGTTTTTTCTTGTTCCACCAAAATAGGTGGAACAGCATGGGACAAGAATGAGACAGAAACTAAAATATTACTAATCTACCATAGCTAGATATATAACCTTAATATGGTATTTGTTTTAATGGTCATCACCGCTAGTTTCGGCCACCACCACCACCACTACCGGCGGCCACCTCCTCTTCCACTACAACAACATCCTCCACCACCTCCACAACTACCGTCCACCAAGTCTATTTGCCACCTCTATCATAGTCGACCACTGACCACTACCGTCGTTCGCCACCTTCAACTCCACCTCTACTGCAACCACCTCCTCCACGACCTCCATCGCCACCTCCACCATAACCACCGCCACCATCTTTACTAAATCAACCACAACTACCATCTTCATGTCCTCTATAACCGCCGCCACCACCACAACTACCACCGTTGTCAACCGCCATCACCACCACAATCTACTATCTTCATGTCCTCTATAACCACCGTCATCCACCAAGCACCACTGCCTCTACCTCCATAACCACTGTCGGTCAGCGACCACCACCGCCCGTTGTCACCACTACCGTCGGCCACCACCACCACCACCACCACTACCATCAATTATATCAAATTTTTCATTCAAATTTGGTACAAATATGAAAATTATGTACAAATATTTATTCTTTAATTATTTACTTTATTTGTGTTAATTATAACTATTATATAATATTTAAAATCATCAAATAACTTTTGGGGGTAGCTTGTCTAGTTCTGTCTAGTCTAGTCCAGTCCTAGTCATACCAAACACCATACATACTCCTGTTATATTCAGTCCAGTCTTGTCCAATCCTACCCTCTTGTCCTATCCTGTCCAGTTATGTCTTGTTCAGTCCTGTCCAATTATGTCTGCGTATCAAACGCTACCTTTATACTCAATTGATCAAAATAGGCAAGATTTCACAAGTAGCAATTTAGCAAGAACTCCTACAGATCCCCTGTCTTATGCTATATACAGGTCCCCCCCCCATATTTTCCTACTCTCGTCCTGTGTCTCCAAGAACTCCTATCACAATACGGTGGTTATGTACTCAAAAATGCCTAAAGCCGCCATGTTCAACTTAGGTGCTCATCCCACGTTCTCCTTGGCCTACCCCTCCTCGCCCCTAGACTATCACACTTTCTACTTGTCTCACCAAAGTCTCAATCTCTCTCCCGCGAACATGTCCAAACAACCACACTATTCCCTATCTCAACTTATCCATGATGGTCGCAACTCCCAACTCCGCCCAAAAGACCTCGTTCACTATCTGGCTAAACATAGTCCGACCACAAATCCATCCAAACGTCCTCATCTATGTAACCACCAACCTCATATAAAAAGATGCAACAATAATGTTTGCATTAAACGATTAACTCAACCATGAAAATAATACGCATGATTATTAACTCAACAATTTCAACCACAAACAAGAACAATATTAGTTGGTCATGAACAAGATGTTGGGTTACGGGATCTCAAGCACAGCGGAAAATAAAACCGTAACC